CATGAGCAGCTTCCGCGCGGAAGAGATTCGCGGGAAGCTCGCCATCATAGGTTGAGGGGTTTAGGGGTTTAGGGATTCCTCACCAGTCGGCGCCTCGGTTCCTGGCATATGCATAGTCCAGGTGTAAAAAAGGAATTCTTCATTTGAAGAGGCCTGGATGCAAAAAGGGATGAGGAATCCGAAAAAGGGATTTCGGATTCAGGGTTCAGGGTTTAGGGGTTTAGGGTTAAGGAGTTTAGGGGTTCAGGGTTTAGGGATTTAGCGATTAGGCTTTAGGGGTTTAGGTTTCAGGGGTTTAAGGTTCAGGGTTTAGGGGCTTAGGGGTTTAGGGATTAGGGTTTAGAGGTTTAGGGTTTGGGGGTTTAGGGTTCATGGATGCTCAAACATTCGCACGGTTGCACATGTCCTGAATGGGGTTAGGGAGAGGGGTCTGAGTAGCGAGTCATGCTACTTCGTAGTCGGAGATGTAGCGTTTAGCTCTCTTGGGGGCACCTTAATCCCAACGTAGTTTCAACGGTTAACAACCTTTAGTTCCCGCAGGATACCGGACAAGTGAGACTAGTACTTCCCCATAGAGTTACAGTAGCAAACTCCTAAAAAGACCTGGACAGGGGTCTGTGCTTACGATTGTAGGCCCTGTCACAGAGGTAATACAAGAGACCAGGTTGAAAGGTTCCGCATGTAATTGAAAATTAAGCCCTCCAAACGCCAGTACTTCTGGAGCCTGAGTTCACTATGATCGCTCCTTTGTTCGGAAGAAGGGGGAAATGTGCCAGGGTTTCGGTCCTGAAGCCCCGACATGTCAGGAAGATCCCCGAGTACGACCGGATGGTGCAAATCCGAATCTACAACGACGACGATCGACTCAAAGCACTCGAAGAGCTGCGTACGGGCCGGCGGGCGGCGTGACCCACGTTTCAGGGTTTAGGCCTACTCGGAGAGCGCTTAGAATGTGCTAAACTGCTAAAGCTTCTGGTTCAATACAAGGGCTTAGGTCTACGAGCGTACGAATCGAAACCCTGCTCGGCTTGGGCAGGTTTTGTAATAGATACTTTTCAGTGTGTGGTTTTGGTTTAGGCATTCGGTTTCGCTTAGGGTGTTCGACCTGCAGCAGGGTTTCGGTTCAGAGTGCGTGAAGTTGAAAGTTGAAAGTTTACAAGAAGGCTTACAGATATGGTGTATGGATTTGCAGATGAAGGTCGAGATAAGGGGATCAAGGGGGCAAACGTCCTCAAAGCCTAGAGGACTCATGGACCTCCAACTGTAAACCCTAAACCCTAATGACCCTAATCCTTTCAAAAAACCCTAATCCATCCCGTAGGGTCTTAGGATGCTCAGGGCAATGTGTGCTGCAGCCCCTGCTCAAAAAAGGGTCTCAGGACACAGAGCCACAGAGCCCTAAGCGCTATATCCTTCAGAGCGTTTCACCACTGAGATGGGTGCGAAGTCACGCCCTGTGCTCCCATGAATACAAAGCCGGCGCATGGGACTCTGATTTTCTCTCAGTTTTGGGGATTCCGTTTTCAGTTTTGGGGATTCCGTGGAGGCTACTGTTATGGGCTTGAGGTGGCGTGTGTGGGGTTTGATCTGTCCGTGACGTGGGTCTGATGCGTGCGCCTGCTTGAACAGGAATGTTGCTACTGCTCATGAGTGGGTACTTTTTCTGCTGCCTGCAGCTCTGCAACGTGAGCCCTGAACCTTGAACACTCTTCTGCCGAGATGTTCATATGTACTTCTAGTACGACAGACGCCAAGAGACACCGAATTGGATTGCCTGTCATCATAGTGAAGCTGCCCATTGCGTCTAGAATTTGCTTGGATCCTCAGCTTAAACGTAGTTCTATGTTGGGTGGTATAGGTGTTTTGTTAACACGGAAGTTAAACAAACCAGAAGAAGGACAGTTAAGGGCCCTGGTAAACCCTGGCCCTGGCGGATAAAGCCTACGCAGACGAGGCATGTTTGGGAGTTTATATTGTAAGTTACTATAGAAGCCTGAGCAATTACCAATATCATTCCTCAGGGTTCCTTATTATAAATATACTATAAAAGGGACCCCAAACCCTATTCTGATTATTAAGGCCCGTACATTATGCTCCCAGCTGGAGCCGGAGGTTGTTCGAAACGCTTGCCAAAGCAACTGCGCCGGAGCGTGATAGGGTACAGGACCTTGTATCTAAAGTAGCCTCCGCGGCCCACAATCCTAAACCAAACACCCTAAACCCTAAACCATAATCAAAGCTTATAAAGCCTATGCCGCAAACCCTAAACCATAATCACCTTTATCCGAGCAGCACCACTGCAGGGCCGACCAGCTGTGTGAAATGTCGGTTAGCTGCTGCAGCACCAGAAGAACCGAAACACCGTAGGATGGAGCGTTTTTAGGCTTTAGGGTTTAGGGACTAAATGAATAGGGGTTTAGGGTTTAGGCTTTAGGGTTTAGGGCCTAAATGAATAGGGTTCCTTCGTAGCGGTCTATGAGGGCTACTATAAGTTCTACTGTAAGGAGATAACCTAGGGGCTTGAATAAGTACCAATACTATTTTGCGGGTTCCTTAAGATGGTTATCGTAGAATGTATTTCCCCTATAGCGGGTATCAACTCCAGGTGTGATTTCTGGAATCCCCCATGTTACACCGAGCCTGGCTTTTGGGTTTAGGGTTTAGGCACAATGAGGACCATGACCCCCACCAGCTGGCCATCCCAACGACCCGATAAGTCCAGATTCTTGAGCCTTACACAAATCAACGGGATAGTCCCGAATTATTCGCTGGACGAAGAATCCTTTCAGCTCAAAGAGCCTCACGGCTTTCAGGTAGTTTGCCAACGTCATGTCGAGTGTGATGATCTTGTCGCGTGTGCTTGCCGTGATCTTCGGCGTTCAGTGTGCTTCAGGCTACAGACACGAGATGCACCTGAAAACACGCAACGAGGCGTCGAGCAACAAGTCAACGCAACATGGTGGTGCCAGCAGCGACACACAGGCATCACTGACTTGCGAGACAGTGGCATACTCGTGTGACTGCGAAGGCTCCAATGACTACTTGAAGAGCAGCTTTTTCTACATGGGAGATGAGAAGTGCTGCACAAATAGATCGATGGCCTGCGAAGAATCGTCCGCTGGGTACTGCGAAGATAGGAAGAAGAAAGATTGGAAGTTCTTCCGTTATTCGAGATATTACACGAGGGGCAAGTGCTGCCTCGTTACCGACTCACCAGTAGTGCTGACTTGCGAGACTGGGTTGAGCTGGGAAGATTGCGAAGGCTCCAACGAGTACTACGAGGACAGCTTCAAGTACCTCGGTGATTACAAGTGCTGCACACCCAAGTCGCTGGCATGCGCGGAGGGGTCGAACCCGATCCGGTGCGAAGGCGAACATGGCGAAAACAAGAAGGAAGGTTGGAAGTTCATCAGGAGCAAGGAGTCAAAAATGAGCGGCAAGTGCTGCCAAGTTCTCCTGAAGAAGCCGCGCGGCGGGTGGCGGTAGCCTGGCCAGCGAAGCGGCTCCCAATCTGATCTTGCGAGGTCACTTCCATGTGGAGGGCTTCACGGCTCCTCAGCACAGCAGCCAGTCTCTATTCCATCCGCACCCCCATGATAGCATGCCTTCAAAGGCGGCGACCAGAGACATACGTGCCAAGTTATGGTGCAAAAGATTGGTCCAAACACTATGAGTCTATACATGGAGTATCTCGCAGTTGTGATCTGTACGAGTACTCATACATCCATACATACATGCATATACAGGTGTGTATACGTATGCTTACCGACAAAGATACGAAGAAAAGCCTACTGACATACCTACATACATGCATACATACATACATACATGCTCGTACATATTTACTTATATATATATACACACATATGTAATTACCAGTCTGTTTATTTTGCTACTTTGCTGTATTTATCCTTATTCTTACTTGCATATGCGAATATTTATTTGGACGTTTGCATGAATGTTCGCATGTGTCAATGTATGTCTGTTTGGTTATGCATGCATGCATGCATGCCTGCATGCATGCATGCATGTGTGTGTGTGTGTGCGCGTGCTTGTGTGTGCATATGTGCATGTATGCATGTACGCACGTATGCATGTCTGCATGTAGCTATTCATGCATGCATGCATGGCCGCATGTATGTTCGTACGTACATGCCTATGGATGTATGCACGTAGTATATGTGTACGTATGCATGTATGGTATGGATGGATGTATGTACGGACGTACGCATGTGTGCGTGTCTGCATGCACCCATGCATGTATGTATCTGTTCGTGTTGACATGCACCTATGCATGTATGATAGTATAGTATGTGCGTGTATGTGTACCGGTATGTATGCATGTATGTATGTATGTATGTATGTATGTATGTATGTATGTGTGTATATACGTGTGTTACTACAATATAGTGTACGTATACACCCACGAAAATACACACGTATATATATATATATATATATATATATATTACATGCAGACATGCCTGTTGTCGCTTGTTCATATTTCAGACTGTCTACAACTAAACTTAGATTTACATGCCTCTGGGGCGCCTGTCCGACGGCAGGACCTACTTGTGCGCGTGTAGTGCCGGAGCTATCCGGAGCTGGCGATAGTTTTCCGCCACGACACGGATTTAGAGCGCTTTACGGTCGCAGGGTACTTGGGGGAGCGGGTTTGGGTGTCCCGCTGAATCCTGCGATTGCATAAGCTCTTTGTCCTGGAATCTCGCAAGTATTTTGGGGTGGTTTGCTGCGGTCTTCTCAGCTTTCTTCGTGGTCTGCTTGTCGTGTCCTGGTCGTCGTGGTGGTCCTGGTGGTCCTGGGCCCCTGAAGTAGTGTAGGGTTTGAGAGCCCGGTGGAGTTTGACACAACAGGTTAGGCTTTCATGCTGGAATCCTATTCAGCGACTAATCCGAAACCCTAAATCCCAAAGCCTAAAACTTAGATCTTCTAGAAGCCCCATTGAAATGGCCCTATTCCTATTCCAAGATCCTCGGAAGGCCGAAAGAGGAGATGCCTTCCAAACTTCGAGGCGAAGCTTAGTCCTTCATAACAGGAGTGGGTTTACGGTTTTGGGTTTAGGGTTTGGGGTTGAGTGGTTGAGAAGTTTAGGAGTTTGGGATTTGGGGGTTTAGGGAGGGTTTGGGGTTTATTTGCCAAGAAAAGGGCTTAGCGTTTATAGGGTTGGACAGGGATGTTGGTGGGTCGGAGTCCGCAGGGCTCTGCCATCGGGTCTTGCCAAGGTTTCAGGGTTTAGGGTTTAGGGTTCAGGGCTCATGGAACAAGGAACGTGGGTTTGTTCTACGCTGCTGAGGATCTGGGCTTGGATCTTTCCAACTTCCATGGACCTTCACCTCTTCCAGCAGGGCTTTCCCTAAACCGTAAAACCCTTGAACCATGTGAGTCTCAAAAACCCTTGAACCATTCTTTAGAAGCCGCGCAAACTAGCGCTGAACTTCGTCAATGCCTGAGGGAATGAGACTTAGCCTACCCCAATCTAGCTGGGTCACGTATGCGGCTTACGGGCTGCAGGTGCAGTTTCTATCGCTCTCATCCGTAGTCATGTGTTGACCTAGGGCATCCCATGTTTCCCAGTAGAGGTGATTGACTTGCCACAGGGTTCTCCAATCCTCAACCACCAACGACAACAACTGAAAGGGTGGCAGTCATGAGGTACACGTGGGAGCCCTGCTGTACCGGCATTTTGATTTCTCTTAGTCTTAGCAGTTTGTACGTACTTGGGGGTTGTTATTGTTGGGGATGCTGGCATCACACTTTCACCCAAGCCGTCCTGTGGATTCTTGTCTCGCCTTTTATCCTATCCGAAGGTGAGCACCTACTAACCTAAAGGCTTGGGGTTCAGACTCACCAAGCCCCAACTCGCGGGGACTGGAAGGACGTTTCAACAAGAGTTAAAACCCTACAAGATCCAAGGTCCACTCAACAGTATTTGCACCCTGAACCTGACAGTGCAAAGCCCCACACCGGCAGGCAACGTGAGGTGTATGAGTCTCTGCAGTTGAACGCCCTGCTGGGGACCCCAGGCGCGTGTTCTCAGCCAGGCATCAAGGCCAAGAGGATACTACCAACATCTATCTGGCCTTTCCAAGCTTAAACAAAGAACCCATGAACCCGAAATGTTTTGTCAGAAACCTTCTATGGACAAATGCTACTGATTCAACACCCTCAACCTCTGAAGCCCTAATCGAATATACGAGCCCCAACATCTAGCGCTGCTGTCCCTTCGGGTTCCTTCATGAGTATACTACATGGACCCCCCAAAACCCTAATGCCATTGACGTCACGAGGGCCTCGCATCATACCGCGAGACAGTTCCAGCTAAGGTTCTGTGCCGACCTCTTCGGCAAAGATGCTGCTCTTGAGCTGCTTGCATTTTTTCAAGCAAAGGTTCGCTTAGGTTTGTGGTTGGGAAATGGGGGGTCGTGACGGTTTTAGGGTTGAGCGCGGTTTCGGGGTACTGTACGGGTGGTTGTCAACATTATGGCCCCTTTTTGTGTCCCCTATTATAATACAACACCTATTATTTAGGGTACCCAAAAAGGAACCTTAAATTTGCCAACTACCCATCTGACATTAGCCTTTTGTAACTGTCCAAAGGGTGTCACAAGTTCGAGGGGTGGTCATGGCACCCTGCAACATCCTGAACCTCTACTTGTACTGTAGATGTACGGTTTAGGGTTTAGGGTTTAGGGTTTAGGGTACTTGTACTGTAGATGTTCACACTTCATCATCCGCCTGATACCTTGGATACTGCCCGCACTCTGCAACAGTTGAATAATGTTGATAAGATAGGTGTTTATAAGGCCCTGAATTAATTGTATATGGGGCGGCAGTACCCAACTTCAAGCCCCCGAAACCCTGAACCCTAACACCCTAAACCCTAAACGCACCCGCCACGCGCAGTCTGTACCTAAACCCCGCGAAGTCGGAGGGCTGCTAAAGTTTTGGGAGGGCTAATGTGCCTGTATCCCCACCCGGCCAGTTTGCTCTTTGCCGCTGACCAGGAACCTCGCTCAATGTCCGAGTGTGAGTGGAGAAAGCCGCCCTACCCTAAACCTAACACCCTAACAATGAAACCTTTGGCCGTCGTCAACGGTTCCACCACAGTACCCTGCAATGCGGGCTTCGTCCTTGCTAAGTAGGAGGGGAAAAACCCCTAACGCACTAATCCTAAACCCTAAAACCCTAAACCCCTAAACCCCTAAACCCCTAAAACCCTAACCCCTAAACCCCTAAACCCCTAAACCCCTAAAACCCTAACCCCTAAACCCTAAAGCCTCACCCCGAAACCCCCGCGGTTTGAAACCCCGAGGTTTCTGAGCTCAACGAGTTGGCCCAATCGGCTCTTAGACGTCGAGGCGACCAGGGCCTGGCCCATGCTTTTGTTGCTTTTTTTTGCTTTGCTATCTGCGGGTATGTTTATTTTAAAAAAGGGTCATAAGATTGTTTCTTATACGTATTGTGATTCATCAACTTTTTTTAAAAGGGTTTCGGGGCTCGGGGCTAAGTGTTTGGAGTGTGGTTGCTTCGAGTTTGACATCTTCCGGAACTTTTGGGCCCAAGTACTGAGGCTCTCCAAGTCGAAGGGTGTTGCAAGATCGGCTTCGGCTCGAGTCGCTGCGGCTGGCTCTACAGCTTTTCTGCTAGTGTCCACCACAGCCATCCACAGGTTACGGCGGTCCTCTTCAGGGTGCAAACTGGCAACACATCACAAACCCGCGCGGAGGGATTCGTGGTGCTGCACCCTTGACAATGCAAACACGAGACGTGACCGTGCTGAGCCCGCAAGGTGCACCTGCGCTCCTCCGTGCACCCAGCGGTCACCAAGCGCTTGTCCGCGCGGCTGCCGCCAGGTCTGGAGGGCTTGGATTGGATGTGACATGGGAGTTTCCGAAAATGAGGGGTACCCAAATTTTTTGGGGTCCTTAGAATAAGGATCCTGCTATCTAGGGTGCTATATAAGGGTCCCCTATTTTCGGAAACTCCCACTGTTTCACTATTGTATACATTTATACGCCGCTTGAACACATCTCGACTGGTGTCTGCAGTTGCGACCTTGTCTGTAGTTGCTACCTTGTATTGCAGTAGATATTGTCTACTATAGTTTGCCGTCTTGCTCATGTTTAGAGTTTGCAGGGCGGACAGAACCCGAACCCGTGTCTCTTGGTCGAGTCCCCTGGTGGTTTCCTTTGCGGCGTCCGTGGGTTTAGCATAGTCACAGCAAGGTTGAATGGCGACTATAAGTGAGCGCGCGGGTGAGCTAGATACTATGGTATTGAGTCAGAACCCAGTTATTGCAGCCAACTCGGTTTTAGACTCTGATGGTCAAAGGGGTTTGGGGAACCCCACTGCTTGCAGGCTAGGGCTCCGTGAAGGTGTAAGAAGGGATCGAGGAAAACGGAGGGATACAGTCCGTGTTTGCGGCTTCTGGGTGTTGTAAGTTCAGGATTAGGCCTTGAATCCACATAGTGATATCCAAATCCATAACCTTCAAGGGGCTTTGGGTTCAGGTGTTTCGGCTTGACTTGCAGGACGGGTTGTTGGACGAGCTTTTGATAATTGCATCCAACAATGGGCCGTTTCTGTTTTCAGTTTCGCACTACCTTTGCGCACAAACCCTAAACCCTAAACCCCGGGCTGCTGTGAGCCGCAAGCACTGAAACCTTAAGACCTTCTAAACACCAAAACCCAACAGCCGAGCCCCCAGAGACACAACCCGAAATGAATCGAGGTGGTTGTCAAAATTAGGGTTCCTCTTTGGGTCCCTATTAACCTATTATAATACGGCACCTATTATTTAGGGTACCCAAAAAGGGACCCTAATTTTGACAACCACCCATCTAGAGATCTAGAAGTTCCTTTGAGGGTTCCTTTCTAGGCACCTGAGTTCAAAGAACCAGGAGAAAAGATAAAATATACTTCAACATCAGAGCTTTAAGCCCTCTCCCTAAACCCCTGCCCTTAAAGGCTTAATCCCTAAGTCGGCTAAACCCTAAGCCCTAAATCCCAAACCTTTAAACCCTAAACGATGAACGGCCCTAAGCCCTAAACCCTAAAGTCCCTTAACGCTAAGAGCTTAAACGGTCTATTGGTTCCGGGGATTAGGGGTTTAGGGTTTAGCCTTGGCGCCGCCAATGGCCTCCCTCCTGGATCAGATGTTGGCCACACTGGAGCCTCTGAGACTTGGCTTGCTATCTGATAGTACCTTATTTATAGCTTATGATGGTACATTATTATGGTATAGTATATTACGGAATATTATAGTATAGTATGTTCTGCTATTGCTATCTTTTGGTTTAGTATATGCCTGGATATTTATGGCTCTCTCTCGGCGCCTAGAAATCTTGATCGGAGGTTGCAGTTTGGTGCAGGTGGTGATTCTTTGCTTGTCTACCTTGGAAGTCTGGGGCCTCGTCTCCTAGGGTTTGCTTGAACCAACCCACCTTTCTTACCCCAAACCCCAAACAGGTAGACAAGGGCCCTTTAAACAAATATCAGCTGTCTGACCCCCTGGCCGGCCGCCCCTCCCCCCCCTGGTCCTGGCCCTCTGGCCCTCTCACTCTGCCCCGCTGCCCCCCCCGGCCTGGCCTCCCCCTTGGCCCTTACCTCCTGCCGTACTCTGCCCTGCCTTTTGGCTGCAGAATTGTGTGTTTGTTGTTAACCAAAATGGACCTAACAGAGTTTAGGTCCTAAACCCTAAAAGGTATAGGTTTGGGCGGTTTGCCGCCTCAGACGGCGTAGGGTGGGTGAGTAATGTGATGGCCCGCCACAGTCGGGCCATGTCTGCGATTCGCAGGCAACAAAACCGCTAATAAATCCTACAATCCCTGTTACACTACCGCTACGCAATCTTGCAGCAAACCCTAAACCCTAAACCCTAAACCCTAACCGTCGTTGTTGGGGCTTGGGTTCTGGAGGCTCTTCGAAAACCTTGACGGAAGACCTCCAGATCCGACTTGACAGGGCTGTGAAGTGAAGGTTTTGGGCCCTGGGTCCTACAACCTCAAATCAGGGCACGGAGTACAGAAGAACTTGATCATCAGTTTAAGGGGCGCGCGGGGGGCCCGGGTCTTCGGGCCAGGGTTGTTTAGAGTCTCTGAGTTGCAGGCCAGTTGCAAAAGGGTCTCTGAGTTTAGGGGTTTGTAAAAGGGTCTAGGGCTTGGGGCAAAAGACGTTGTGAAACAGGAGTGTGTAGCAATGTAATTAGTAGGTCGTGCCTTGCTTGCAGCTGAGGAAAGACCTGCAGTGGGCTGCCATCGGATTCCCAAAGGATATACTTTAGGGGCGGCTGGGTACATGCTATCAAGCTTGTTCTGGCAGCGTTGAGAGGTGTTTTTCCAGCTCATATGGGAAGAAACTGAGCAAATTGAGATTCGACGAGCTGCTAATTTGCAGCCGTTGCATGTGGTTAGTAGCGAGTAGACAGCGACGCCCCACACCTTGCAATCCAAGACCACCGGCTATACCTTGTCTGAGAGGTTCTTGCACTTGGAAGTTTCAGCAGTTGTGTTCTCAGTTTGCTTCTCAGTTGCATTTGGGTTTCAGTCCCCGTGGCTTTCTGTTTCTGTGGCTTGTTGTTTACATGGAAAAGGACTAGGAAGCAGCTTGATTTTAAATGAGCTGCCACTGCTGAGTGATTCACCTGCCGTGGCGGGGGCTCGTAGCTGAGTTTCATTAAACCGCCCGCCGTCCAAAACTTGACCAATGAAGACCCCAAGGCGCCCTGAACCTGAACCTCCTCTTCCTACAACCCTAACCGTAAAAGAAGCGAAATATCTGACAGAGGACCTCGATGGAGCCTACACCGGCACCCTCGGAGCTCCGGCACGATTTTTTTTGTGTTCAGGTCATGGTGTGCTTGTGTTGACTTTGGAGCTCCAGGGCTTGAGGGTTTTGGGGTTTGCTTGTCGGAGTTTCGTGCGGTTCGGGGCTGACCGTGGATGACGCTCTCTTGGGTTGACGGGTTCACTACGGTCACTACAGAGTGCAAGTCAGTGCAGCACCAAGCTCTTTCATCCTTGGGAAACTCCCAATGTATTGTATTGCTACCTTCCCAGGAGAGTGGCGCTTTATGGAGGAGACCGTGCATGAGCGTTTCCACCGATGCAGGTACACTGGTGCACGGCTTTCAAGTCGCTAAGATTCAAGATTTCAGTGCCGTGTAAGGACAGAAAGGCCAAAGACCATAACGAAGCGCCGGGCCAAATTCCACAATTCCAAAGCCCTGAACTCGGGAACCTCTAGAACACCTAAACTCTACATCCCTACTGACCGAGTGTTCGCGTCGAAAGCCCAAAGCCTCAAAACCGTCCGTGGTTTTTCATGACAGTCCTAAACCCTAAACCCTAAGCCCTAAACCCTAAACCCGCCAGCAGGTCGCAGGGTCGTATCTACTATGAGCTTGCAAGCAGCCGGGCTCCAGAGTCTTATGGGCTGCTGTGGTTTCAGGTCTCCTAGGGTTTATTGGGTTTTGAAGTTTGGGGGTTTTGGGGTTTCGATTGCAGGATTTCGGAAATTTTGCGGTGTCATGGGGCTCGGAAGTTACGGTATAGGATATTCACGGCAAGCAGTCAAGCCCGTAAAGGTGCTCACTGCCATGAAGAGGCAGACTGGGGCTTAAGGTTTAGTAGGGTCAGCCGTTTATGTGTCTATGGTCCGAACCACTAAGCCCTAAACCCTCGCTTTGTTCGGGGAGGGTGCGAAGCTCAGGAGAAAGGGTCCGTTAACCCAAAAAGCGCTCGCTTTGTTCTCCGACTTAGTTCTGCTGCTCCGCACCCTTTTGGGGATCGGTCTCACGCTTCTTGTGCTTTTTGCGCTGACTAGTCTCCTTGGTCCGCTACGCCCTTACAGCTCTTTCGTGGCTTGTAGCCTGTCTCTTTATGATGACCGTGGTATTCCCCTGCTTTCCTCGGAATTTCCTGCCTTTAACTTAGAAATTGCCGGTTTTGTCTACAAACTTTTGTCTACATGCCAAGAGCCCGCGAGCTCAGTCGTAAAACCCCACAACCCCTTCATCCTAAGACCATAGCACCTTTCATTTCCAAAGCTCTATGTTGTAGCTCTGAAACCCTCAAAGCCTGAAACACCCCGACTCCGATACCCTGAGCCGCAGACTCTTAAATCGTCAACTCCAAGCCCCTATACGCCTACATCCTACATCCCTAAGGTTGAAGAAGTTCTAAACTATACCTCGAGCCAAAAATCCCGACGCCCTAAACACTCAGCCTTGAAACCCTCCAGCCTCAAGCTCTGGATCCTTAGATGCTAAACTCAAAACCCGAAGCCCGAACATCCTAAAGGAATTGAAATCCGAAAGCCCTGGCAAAAAGGGCCCGGAAGTCCGAAAATCCGGAAAACACAAAAAAAACTGAAGCCCGAAAACCGGTTAACTCTAAACCCTGAAGCCCTTGAAGCCCTGAACCCTAAACCAGGACTGTTTTGGCGTGTATAGATGAGCAGTTTTTACAGGTTCAAGAGTAGTAATAGCAGCCACAACAGTCCCATCTCAAGCACGTGACTTAATTTGAGAACTACACCACACCTGTTGTAAAACAAAGCCTTGGTTCTAAAGCGAAGCCTTTCGTCCTGTACGATAAGCAAAGCAGGATGAAACCAAAAAAGAGCAAAAGAACCCACGCTCACTCGCAGGACGCTCGCAGCTTCGGACACTTTCTGAGGTTGGCTCTCCGGTCGTCCCCCTGTGTGGTGCCTGCGCGGCTTGAGGGCCTCTTGCCAGGTATCCTTTCCGGTCAATCGGTGCGGTTCAGTGTCGGTTCTCGCTGAGACCGAAACGAAGGTTGCAGTTTGCCCACTGCAACAGACATCGCGCTCGACACCTGCTAAGGGCTGTTGC